GTAGATAGATTTTCTAAAATAATCAAATATATATTACATATAAAAAACAAAAATTTTCCTCTGTAAGCTGCATAACATATACCACCATATCAAACATTTTTCAATATATATTAAAAAAAAATAAGAGTAGTACAATGTTGCACGGTATTTTCTTGAATTGCTTATATTTTTCTAATATGAATTGATGCAAGAATTATCAAAATCGAGTAGCAAACAATAAAGATATTGACAAAAACAACTTTTGAAGCATATTCACAAATGCATCGAAGTCTTTTGCAGGCATTTGTGGCTGTTATATTCTCTGTTCGTGGATACTAATAATATTTATTTAAATATAAATTTAAATATAAATTTAACGAATAGATACAATGTTGCAAGGTACTTTTTTGAAAAATACACATATTCTAGAATATTTTGGTATATAAATCATTAAAAATGAGTAGATAGATTTTCTAAAATAATCAAATATATATTACATATAAAAAACAAAAATTTTCCTCTGTAAGCTGCATAACATATACCGCCATATCAAACATTTTTCAATATATATTAAAAAAAAATAAGAGTAGTACAATATTGGACGGGATTTTCTTGAATTGCTTATATTTTTCTAATATAAATTGATGCAAGAATTATCAAAATCGAGTAGCAAACAATAAAGATATTGACAAAAACAACTTTTGAAGCATATTCACAAATGCATCGAAGTCTTTTGCAGGCATTTGTGGCTGTTATATTCTCTGTTAGGGGATACTAAAAATATTATATTAAGTATAAATTTAACGAACAGATACAATGTTGCAAGGTACTTTTTTGAAAAATACACATATTCTAGAATATTTTGGTATATAAATCATTAAAAATGAGTAGATAGATTTTCTAAAATAATCAAATATATATTACATATAAAAAACAAAAATTTTCCTCTGTAAGCTGCATAAGATATACCGCCATATCAAACATTTTTCAATATATATTAAAAAAAAATAAGAGTAGTACAATGTTGGACGGTATTTTCTTGAATTGTTTATATTTTTCTAATATGAATTGATGCAAGAATTATCAAAATCGAGTAGCAAACAATAAAGATATTGATAAAAACAACTTTTGAAGCATATTCACAAATGCATCGAAGTCTTTTGCAGGCATTTGTGGCTGTTATATTCTCTGTTCGTGGATACTAATAATATTCTATTAATTATAAATTTTACGAACTGGTACAATATTGCACGGTACTTTTTTGAAAAATACACAGATTCTAGAATATTTTGGTGTATAAATCATTAAAAATGAGTAGATAGATTTTCTAAAATAATCAAATATATATTACATATAAAAAACAAACATTTTCTTCTGTAAGCTGCATAACATATACCGCCATATCAAACATTTTTCAATATATATTAAAAAAAAATAAGAGTAGTACAATGCTGGACGGTATTTTTTTGAATTGTTTATATTTTTCTAATATGAATTGATGCAAGAATTATCAAAATCGAGTAGCAA